ATATATATATATATATATATATATATATATATATATTACGTACACTTTACCATTATAACAGTCTACTAATCATATTTCTTTGGTTTACTGATGAGCCTTGAATAAGCAAAATTGCAGTCCACAGCAGAGGGTACGGCCAATCAAAGAATGCATTAGGACGCTACGTTACAGATTCTCTTTTTAATTTCGCCTCTGCTAAAAAAGAAAATAAATCTGCATATATACTAACAAATATATTACAGTATTTTATCAGTACTTTGTCTACACACTAAAGTGTTCGAACGTAGCGATTTTCGTGGAAACGATAATAGATTGGATTTAGTATTATTACAGTGTTTGAGATTCATGTAATTGAAACGTTTTATTATAGTTTGTTTTGAATTTAGCTCAAAGCTACACGAGGGCTATCTGCGCTCGCCGTCCCTAATGTAGCAGTGAAAGACTAGAGAGAAGGCAGCTAGTCATCACCACCCACCGCCAACTCTTGGGCTACTATTTTACTAACGAATAGTAGAAGTGACCGTCACATTATAATGCCCCCACAGCTGAAAGGGCGAGAATGTTTGGTGGGACGGCGGATTCGAATCCCCGTCCCTCAAATTGCGAGTCAAGCGCCCTAACCACCTGGCCCTGCCGGGCGTTGTTTTTAGTATTATATTAAAGAGATTGGAATTACTAGTCACAATTTTAATTAAGGTAGGAACCTAGCAGCAGTAAAGTAACGCCGATATTTTTTCAACCGTAATAAAAATAAATGGTTATTAAAACATAATTCATAAGATATAAAAAAAAACACTTTGGGAATGTTTGAATAGTAATGAGAAAGTGAGTTACACATTGGTCATAATGAGTCTTTTCAAATGCAAATAAAGAATTCTGTTTTGCTGTGACTTACAAGCTTTTATTGACTTATTTATGGATTTTGCCGTACATGTGAATAAATAAAACACCTACTTGCTCAGTACTAACTAGAAAAAGTATTGGTATGCTCAATATACTTATGAAAATATGAACACATTGTTAAAAACTTAAACATATCGTGCCCATTAGCCCCTTGATAATGTTTCTAAAACTCAGCCGACAATTATACTCAAACGACTTATTAGATAATTAGATGGAGTACCAGTTTGTAACAAAGGATAGGAAATTGTGCTTCTATTTTTTATTCTCTTAAAATAATAAACTCAAACAATAATTATTGAGCTGTTGGTTTGTTCGAAGTACAAAACTACACAATGAGATATCTGTTCTCTGCCTACCACAGGTATCGAAACCCGGTTGCTAGCATTGTAAGTCCACAGACCTACCGTTGTGCCACTGTGGGGCTATAAGGTTTGTTTGTTTGTTATGGATTTCGCGCAAAGCTACACGAGG